AAAATGGATGTTTTAAACTCAGAGCAGTAGGATGACATGGTAAAAGAAGCTAATGGGAAAATAGCTCAGGTGGGTAGAAATCCCTGAGAGAGATGGAGCATATTTGAGATTCCAAACAAACATTATTTTTTTAAAAAAATCATAATAGTGTGAGGAGTTTGACAGTGAGATGGGACAGTGGGCTTTCCTTCACTGATTTTAAGAGGCTAGATAACTCTCTGTTGAGGATGTTTTAATGAGAGTACCTGGATTGAGCAAGGGGTTGGACTTAATGGGTTAAGCAGCACCTTCTAACTCTATGAATCTATGAGGAGGAAAGGAAATAACAGCACTGGACAGAACAACAGTACATATATCTGTCTTTTCTTTTGCCCTTGCAGGTGCTCAGTCAGTTTTTGAATATCTGAATCCATTCAAGAATTCCACGGACAAGATAATAGCAGATATAGTACATAGAAGAATGGAACAGTGTATAATGGCACCCTCTATATCCCACACATTCTATTCTGCCCCTCAAGTCTTATTAGGACACTAAGATTTGAAGAATGAGAGCCAGGAAAGAATAGGGGCATCACTTGTTCTCTTGAGTGTATGAACAGGATTAATGATTCCATTTTTTTCTTAATTCTTCAATGTCTATAGTCCAATTTGTGTGTGTCTGTGTGTGCATGCACACACACACATGCCTTTGAGTGAGTGTTGACTCCTGGCGGCTGCCTGGACAAGCCCCTGCAGTTTTCTTGGAAAGATTTCAGAAGTGGTTTGACCTTGCCTTCTTCCTAGGGCTGAGAAAGAGTGATTGGCACAAGGTCACCCAGCTGGCTTTGTGCCTAGGGAGGGATTAAAACTCATGGTCTCCCGGTTTCTAGCCCAGTGCCTTAAGCACTACACCAAACTGGCTCTCTCTATAGTCCAATACCAGAATTACTTTCTGCCCCAGTCGCTCTCTCTCTCTGCAATATGTAATTAGACCTATAGCTGATTCAAATACATACACCGATTCAGAGGATTTTAAAGATTAATATACAATTGAGACCAGAGGTTTTTCTTTTGTGATTGATGGACAAACAGTTGGAAAAAAGTCTTGGAACTTTGTTTTTGTATACAATAACTATAGCAAGATTGTATGCACAAAGATGGAAAGATTTGGCAATACCCACAGTGGAGGAATGATTGATGAAAATGATGGAACTTGCTGTGATGACCAAATTGACTTCTTTGATCATAGAAAAGACAATATATTTATTGCTGACTGGAACCCCTCATGGACTTTTTGCGTAAAACAGAAAAAAATGAACTTATAATTTATAGTTTTGATGATTAGATAGGATAGATTATAGAAAGAAGAGAGTTGTGATGTAACTTTATAGAGAGAGGTTAAAATATAATTATACTTGTAACTGCTGTAAAGGGGATCGGAAGCCACTTCTTTATATCTTTTTTCTTTCTTTTCTATTTTTCTTTTACTTTTTTTTTCTTTCTTGGACTTTTAGCTTTCTCTTTGATTTCTTTTTCTTTTTTCTTCCTTACTTTATATTAGTTTGTATTAGTTTTTAATCTTCATTTTAAAAACTTTTCATACACACACACACACACTGTGATGGAATGGAATTATGAAGGCCAGGCTCAGGGAGATAAGTGCGTTCTTAGTTCACTGCAAGAGCGTGGGAAGTGCAAGAGGATGAGGCTGGCACCTCCCTGAAGAATTCATGGTGTTGTGACGGGCTAGCTTGGGAGCTAGGATTCAGTCTGGGGAGATTCTTTCTAGAGGTTGTAGCTAATAAACACAGCAGAACTGAATTTGCATTGTCTCTTGGAGTTCTTTGGGCTAAACCTGACACACACTCCTATAATCCTAGATATTTTCTGCATGGATGCACAAGTTGCTATGGAAGTAAACCTATATCCTTCTTGATACTACATGATACCAGTTATTTATGACTGACCTTTTCTGACATCTCAGGTCCCACGTTGCAAAAGAAAGGACTATTTTTATGTTTGCTAATATTGACAGCAGAAAAATCAATAATACTGTTTGTCATAATTTGTAAACATCTAAAGGTCATGAGTTAGAGGAATCATATTATTCTATTTCAGTTTTCTTTTCAGGTTAAAACCTTGAACACAATAGATCAGTTTCACTTGAAGTGGAAGGGGATTCTCCTGGGTAAACTAAAATATTGGACGGGTTTTTTTTTTTTTCCCTCTAAGACATTTTTGTCACATTTCCTCTTCAGACAGAAGAGGAAAAGAAAGGATCAGATCACTTTTGCCAGAAGTTTGAACTGCCATGCAAAAGATGTTTGATATTAGATTAAGAGTGATATGTGTCTCCTTTCAAGTCAATGTACATAATCCGTCCTTTTTTTTTTTTTAAATAAAGTTGATGGCAACAACAATAACAAAAGAATGTCAGCTGCTTACAGTCTTTAATACAGTCAGCTTCTCTTATAAGAAGACCTTGTGTGCCAGCTAAATCCTGGTTCCATTTTTTTCCGGGTTTTTCACACCATAGAAAATACTGGTTCCTCTATCTCCTATTCGCATAGCAGGATTACATTTTACACATAATAACTAACAATTTGCTGCCTTTTCTGATACCTCATTCTGGCTAATAGTAAAGACTCTTGTTTAAAAATCCTAAACGAATGAAAGTGAAAACAGACAGCATTTAGACATTCATCTTATTTTGTCTGTCTCAGGAATGTTCAGGAGAGCACTGGAACATTCTGGTTCCTATCTGGCCACGGCTGTTCCAGGGAGTGGTTTGGTGATTTCTGGAGGTAAATCCTCTGAATTGGAAGTGATTAAAGGTGTGGGCTTGTCATTCTAGTCAAAAGAGCTCTGCTTTGGGATGAGATGGCCCCCAGAGTACTCCACACCCCATCCAGTTTAGAGGATTTGGTTCAGAAACAGCTAAGCCACCTTGAGAACATCATGGTCTGGGAGGAGGTTCAGTATAGTCCAGAAAGAAACAGAATGTTCTAGTATCTTCTGAACGATCTGTTCCTAAATTAACAAATTTTCTCCATACCTAACTCTTCTGGCTCTCCAAGTTCTGATCTGAAAAATAATGCTTTTCTTCTGTAGTCACTTAGCTGAGCAGTAGCAACAATTCCAATATATTGCTAATTAAATCATCTTTAATAGTAGTTAATGCAACCATTTTGTGGATATAATTATGTGATATTAAGGTACTATTGAAATGTGTGTACAAGCAAAATAAAAAAATCAGTAAAATGGACATCTTACTGTTCTTTTCAAGCTTAGACATTTGTTTAAAACTTGTTTTATAGCAAAGAATTCTAGTTCTACAAATGGAAAACTTAATTGTTATTTCTAATGAAACATGTACACTTTGTTTTTCCTTCTGAGACACAAATGTGTGTGCTTGTGTGTGTGTGTATTTGTTCAACCTTATATTGGTTTCAGTGTACAGTTGTAGCCTATTATCCTTTTAACATGTTTGAAAGCAGAGAATTTTCATGTACTATTATAGTAAATCCCTCTGTACAATAGGCAGCTGCTCTTCATGTTTATCTTAAGCACAAATGGCTCAGTGCTTTGTGATGCAGGAGACAAATAAGCCTGGGAAATGTGCTGTAAAGCAACATGCTAATTAACAATGGCTTCAGGACTGGAACTTTAACAGCAGAAGACAGCAGAAGACTAAAGACTAAAGACTGCCTCTGCAATGGTATGAGATGAGATGAAGGCTACATAATGAGGACATTCTCCTTAAAAATAGTTGTCAAGATGACATCATGCCACAGTACACGGGATGGGATGATGAACCCATCATAATTCTACCAAGGTTTTCTGATATACTAACTGAAGAGAGTGAGAGGATAAGAAGCAAGAAAGATTGTATTTTTTGTCAGTTTAAACTGGAGGGGGGAAAGGTACAGCCTGTAGATGACCTAGGGCTGCCTGCAAATCCCCAAACCCTTGGATGTGGCCATTGGAGATTTTTAAAAATTATCACAAAATTGCAATCATTCTAATATAATTAGAAGCAATCATATTAATTGCATTTCATCAATATAATTTAAGCTAAACAAAATTGAGTGTTTTTTTGGGGGGGGGGCTGGTTCTGCTTCCTTCTTTTAAATGCAGTTGCCTTCTTTCAACAGATGACCCTAGACAAGGGTAGGGAATCTCTGACCATCTGGAAGTTATAATTTCTAATTATTGGCCATACTGACTGAGACTGACAGAAGTAGGGATCAAACACTGGAGGTTTGCAGGTCCTGGACCACTCAATTTAGTAATATATCAATGTGACAATGCAACATGCAGTTGATTTATCATTGTTGGATCTATTTTGAATTTCTAAAGTACAAATGCTAAATCTTGCTATGCTGGCACAAACATGATCAAATAACTACATCAGCACACTGTGATGTTCAAGGGGAACATGCAGTTGTATTACAACACATACGCAAATTTAATAGTATTGTTTATGACTGAGATGTTGGACATGCAAGATATATCTTTGTTAATTTCTGTTTACTTCCATACCCAGGAGAGCTTCTTAACACATCCAAGTGTAGGATAGGTCTTAAATAACAATAACTTTTACATAAGCACCGAAGAAAAGAAAATCTGAACATACCATGTATAACAACAACAACAACATGTGTCCAAGTTCACAGCTCTCTTTATTTTCTCTCCATATTTCCTTTCTCTTTCAAGACACTATTGTATCTCCAATGATATTCAGGACAAAGCTTTTTTTTTTTTTTTTGCAATTGCCTTGCCTCATTACCAGAATTTTATGGGGAATTAGGTCTACACAGACAACTCTATGATATGTTTGTACTGACAGAAAATTTATAGAACTATCTGGAAGCATTTTGTGTGAATTGGTCATTGTGGGATCAGGATGTTTATTTGTGCTAAGCAGACACAATATATCTCATACAGCAGCCTCTCCCAAACTGATATTCTCTACACTGTAAACTTGTATCTGTTTTATACCTGTATCCATTAATTCTTACCTTTTGGTATTACTATCACCAGAACATGGGTTTCAACATGGTTTTCAGTCATGTTGTTGTAAGCAATACATGTGTATTCTTCTGTTTTCTGTGTTACCTTCTCAGATGCAACTTCTAGAGATCTTCCATATTGTATTGGATGTATGGAGTTGTTTGCCCTCCGGATCCATGAATAAATATTTGGTGGATTGGAATCTGCTGAGCAATACAGCTGAACAGCATCACCTTTATCAAGGGTAAACACTCTTCCTAATTTCTGGCCTTTGGCAGTATTTATGGAAAGTCCATAGGGTCCATCTTCATAAACATCACAGTGATTGAAAGAGAAAGAAAACAGATTCAACAGAGGGGACATCCATATGTTCTACTTACTCCATTGCAAAGTAACTGCTTGCTAAGGACAGCCTAAACCCATTCCCAGCCTCCTGCAAAGAAAACTTCTGCCTGTCTTTTCTTGTCCATTTCAAAACTGGAGCCCTTGGGTGAAGGCCAAAATTTAGGAATGCACACACTCGGGTTCAGAGCACTATTGAAGTACAGAAGGAAAAAAGCATATGTAGTGTTTTCTTTTGCAATTAGCAGGCAATATGAACATTTTTGCTGCAGCTTATCATAGATGTTAGCATCCTGGCAACTTGACTTTGCTGGTCAAGAAATAACCTCCATTTGCTTGATTTATGTCAATTTCAGCAACTAAGCCCAGAAACCTGTGGTTGTTTTTGATACAAGGCTTTGCTTGTTGATAGTACTGTGCCACATCTGCCCAAGCATAGAGGTTCCTGAGAAGCATTCTTTACCTGATCACTGAGAACCTTGAGAGAAGACTGTGCTTATGCTCATGGGATACAAAAAGCCATGATTTGCCTGAACATTTGTCCAGTTGTCTGGATTTCGCACAACTATACCGCAAGCCTTCTCACTCTCTTTCTGTATTGGGATCACAATTTCCAGAATTCCCAGGAAGTCTGACAAGTATTTGACAAGTTGTTGTTCTGCCATGTAGGAATGGGCAAGGCATTCATAATCTAAGTTTACAAACCATAGTTTGGGTTCACAAAACTACAAAGAAATATTATGATTTAAATTTTGGGAGAACCATTAGCTAAAACAAACAAGCATATATGTGGTCTACATATGCTCTGGAAACCAGAGAATGATTGACTGAAGTTGTATTATTTCCATTTTGTGCTAAGCCAGAGTTTGTTTTAACTATGGTTTGCTTAGCAAGCTGTAGACTATGTCCACACATGATACTGATATGCTTTTTTAAATCCAAATTCATTGGGGGAAAAAAAAACAATTGGCCAGATTTATGCAATACACTAAACCCAAAATCACAGTTTACACACTACAGAATTTAGGTTTATACACTGTGCTAACATAAAACTAAAAAAACCACATCGTTGCTTAGCACAGGATTAAGTGATGCAGGGCATTTCTGAACCAGCGAAATCAGGAAGCCTGTGACGTTAATAACGCTGCTACAAATGTGGAGGGAGTGCCATGGACACACACTAAAATTCATTAGGCTTGAGAATAACATGCAGTGATGTTGCCACAAGAACAGTTTGACGACAGAAGTGGGATAAGATTTGTCCCACTATGCCGCGTGCCATTAACAAAACTTGCCTCCCTTTTCTTATTTTGTCTTTTCCCAATTTCTGTACTTTACAGTGACTGTCTGGCACTGCTAAGGAGCATCAAGTACAGTGCAGTTTGCTCATGGCTAAATTTGAAGCACTCTGTTCTGCTGAGGTTGTAGCTTGGATTGATCACCTTGCAACAGAGATATAGCAGATGTGATACAGCAAAACATAATTATACCCTCTTCTGATTGCTACTACTGACCTTTCTGCTTCCTTTTCTCAGGATTATCTTTTGGCTACTTTATATCTAACATCTGTCATGGCAGAAGGAGATTTATTCTCCTGGGAAGTATTGTGACTTTATGGTTTCCATCATTGCAGTTTCACATTGTGATAAGGAGTATAATTCTAGATCAATAAATTCTAGATTAATAAAACAAAACATGATAGCATCTATGGCTCATATGATAATCATGCTGACGTTCACAGACTTTCAGGAATGTATTTTGATTGTTTTTGCATATCTTGATGTGAGACTTGAAATAATAATATGTGTTCCATTAAAGGATTCTATGCAGTCCTCTGATATTGGCCACACTATATCCCCCATAACTTAGGGAAACCTTATTCTCTGAGTATGAGATCACTGCACAGTGGGGGAATTGAGCAATTTATCAGATTCCTGCATAAGGGAATCCAAAGCCTCTGTAAGTCCTCTGCTTCCAGAGTTGGCTGCTCTTATTGGCACAGATTGGGATAGTGGGGATAGTGATCCAATTATGCAGGCAAATTTAAATTCCCATAAAGCTCACAGTGCTTGGTCAGGGATACCATTATAAAGTAAAATGGTTATTAAATCCATTTGTTTGCCACTGCATGTATTGTATTAAAAAAAAAAGTAGGTTGGGGTAGTGGCACAAAATACTGGAGCCCTTTATTAGTTGTGGGTTCTGTTCAGGAACTGGAGCCTTGATGTCTCCCTAAGGATGTCATATTCTGGATCTGATCCTGGAGGCACTATAGAACCACCATCTGCTCTGCCCAGAAAATTGGCTAGTATCTACTACTCAGACATGTACTTAAGGATTTTCCCCCTTTCCTGATTTCCTTGAAGAGCTTATGGTGGTGCAGATTGAATACAATTGTATACAAAAGGAATGGTTCTATAACACAGTGGAAGAAAAGATACGATTGAAAACCTGAAAACTGTTTCTGATTTTGTTTTGCACTGATCTATTTCCATATAAATTAGGTGTTTAGTAAATTTGTTTTGCAGGAAATTAGTTTTACAGTTTTTATTTTTAGGGGGAAAAAAAAAAAGGACTGTGGCAGGATCTCTGCTAGCGACTTTTAGTGTCTTCTGGAATCGTGCAGCCTATTGTTAGGCTGATACAGCAGAAATGATGACAAGCTTTGTATCTTCTTAGTGATGTTTCCAAGAAGGTGGAAGTCACTAGAGGGTTAATGGCCTGTGAGTGGTCCTGAGGGGAAATTCTTTCTAAAATAATCTTTTGCATGTTTAAATAAAATACATTGAGGTTTTAAGAGCATTTCTAAATAAAGGTCTCTGGAAGGGCTACTACCTCTTTTCCAACATCATTCTCAGCAGAGGAGACCTTTTGCCTCAATAAAACCTATTTACTAAATGACTTGTAAAACAATAAATCATCACTTCTTAGCAACAATTTACTTCTCAGTGGGAACATAAGCAATTGTACCTGTCACCAGGAAACTGTAATTCATCTTGTTTTTGAGCAGATGGTAAGTATTTACCATGATTGACCTTTATTATTACTCTAAGTCCTCAGGCAGCAATGGCATATGGTCTTTGTAGCTTGTACAGCCATTACTTGGTTCTTATTGAGAGAACTGGCAACTAACAAGGTTTTAAAGTACTACTTACAAGTGTAGTTTAAATTATGTAAGTTGAAAGCAATATTTGATGGAGGAGGTCATGGTGGCTAATAGGACTTCTCTGCCATTTTTCGGGGAGACTTGATGGCTTACAAGCTCTTGAGATTCCATGCAAATTCTCTTTGTAAAACAAATGAATCTTGAAATATTAACAGGATCAGTTCACAGACTATTCTGTACCATAAATTCACTTGCTTGAGTTTGTCTTAGGGAATCCAGCCATTGTACTTATTAAACCATGGCAGAGTTGTGTATGAACCAGCTTATGTCTTAGTCAATCAGTCATGGTTGAAAGAAACCATAGCTTAGCACAATGTGTTTTCTCTTGTTCGGGTTAGGGATAGATTGATAATCTTAGGTTTATCATGAAATGAGCCCAGCCATTGGAGCTCATTCAATGAGTCATGGCTTAAGTAAGCAGTGGGTGTGCGTGATGTGTAAAACTAGTTGTCATGGATTAAATTCTATACTAATGTTACTTAGGTTTATATTACTAGTTCTCAGCTCTGTTGAAAAATACCCTCTATTCATGTTATGATTAATGTTTGTAGCAGTAGTAAAGTGTTGTAGCCATGTCACTAGATGGGAGAACTCAAGCAGCTGTTCAGGGAAGGATCTGAGATTGTCCAGAACTGTGCAGGAGGAATGAGCTGACAGGGCTTCCTCAGTCTGATAAGGACACTGGGAATTCTGCATGATATTGCCCTAATATATCCGAAAGAACAAGGCATCCTGAGTAAAAGACTAACAATTAAAAAAAAAAGTGGATTGCCTACATTAGTGCCCAGATAAGCTTAGGTTCAGTGATGATAGATAAGAACTGCCAGCAAGTGGTTTGAGAGATTTGTTTCATAATGATATATTCCATACTTCTGGGGAATGGCAAGCACATTCTTCCTGTGAATAAGGAATTATGTTCGGATGAAGTAAGCAATCTATGCTTTAAATCGTCTGCCTGTAATGTGGGGTTGGTTTTCTGAAGGCGAGTTCTCTTAGCACTGAAATGAAATAGAAACATTATCTATTGTGGTTCCTTATTATAAGCTGCTGGAGTTGCACCATGATCTGACATTCATATTTATATCTGATATAGTATATTTAACATTCTCAATGCTATATAATAATTCACACATTATTAGACACTCCTTCCACCTCAAGCCACTTGCCACAGGTAAAAAACAAGTTTAGGCAAGACTGTTATGCTGCCTAATTCCCATAATCCTCAGATAGATTTGTTTATGGATTTGTTATGTTTTTATTCATTATTTTCTTCATAGAATTCACAGTAGAATGTCAGCTTTGCAATCATCTTAGAATTAGATGGAATTCACTAGAAGAGAATGTAGCTCAGGGTTGAACTGTGGAATTCTTGGTGCTCTCTGAGTTGGTTGGTTGGTTGCAGACATTTCATTACCCAACTAGGTAACATCATCAGTGCAAGTGAGTGTGGGATTTGCTCCCTGTTTATATACAGTAACTTGCTCTGCCAGTGTTGATGGGAGTGTAGTTTTCTCCTTGGTAGTTCTTTGATCCAGTAATATCTGTTGGACCACACATTGCCCACCTTTGGCTTAGAATTCAGACACATATGGTTCATGGAGGGGAGGAGGAGGAGGAGGAGGAGAAAGAGGAAGAGGCAGAAAGAACTTGGCAATAAATTCCATGAACCTGATTGGATTTATGTATCTTCAAATTAAACTTCCCTATTTGAGCTCATAATATATCTACTATGTGGGTTAAAGCTTTTTAAAATTCATTTTAAAAAGTCTTTCATAATTTCCTCTCCACCTTCTTTATTTGCCTAAATTCATCACTTTTTGTCATGTTGCTTTAATGGAATATGTTTCCAACACCTTTAGAGTCAACAAAGCTTCTTTCAAGCGGGGATCAAGTAAACCGGTTGGCTTACAGCTTGGTTATACAAAGGCATTTTTCTTAGCCCTTTTTCCTACCAGTCAAATCTGGTCTAATACTGCATACAGCTAATACATGTAACCAACCTGGGTTATTCTTATTATACATTTCTTAATGCTGTTGTCTTAAATATTTTGTTCTGCTGTTTTATGTTGTATTTTATATTGCATTGTATAAAAATATTTTTCTTAAAAACCATCCTGAAATGATCTGAGTAAGACCACATAAAGTTTCAAAATAATAATAGGATAACAACAAGAGCAGCTGCCATAGTTAATCATGTCATTTTCAAATGTATATTGTTTCACAGGTGTCAGCTTAAGCAAACATATCCAGCGTCCTATATTGATTTTGCACAGAAATAAAAAAATGATAATGATATGGACTTTAGGATTTAATATTCTTCTTGTTTGCCTAAAATATAGCCTAGAGCCCACTAGGGATTTGGACTTTTTCTCTGAGTAATGTACTATGATGAAGCAGAACAGAAACTGCTTCTGAAAATTGTATTAAATAGCAGTGATAGGCCTGAGAGCGAGCCTTAATACAGGAGGGGGGAATACAATGTTAGACATCTCCATCTCCCCTCTTCCTCTCACCAGCCTTCATGGATGGCTTTTTCTGTCATCAGGAAGAGCCAAAGAAGTGTGATGATTGGACAGGAGACATTTACCATGACCGAGATCTGCTATCATAGAAAGATACAGTAATGATTTGTTTTCTCAAATCAACTAATACCCCTGTTCCATTAGAAGAGAATATCTGTAGCTCAAGATTCAACTGTGGAGTTCTTGGTGCTCTCTGATTTTGGCTGTTTGCTTGCAGATGTTTCATTTCCCAACTAAATAACATCATCAATACAATGATGTTACCTACTTGGGTAATGAGATGTTGGTAAGCAAACAACCAAGCTCAGAGATCACCAAGAACTCTATAACACCCATTACATACATTAGACAAACGTTACCTACTTACAATATATTGTTGGCATGATCATGTCACTCATCATGGCACTGACAGGATTGGCTGCTAAACAGCTGTAATTCCCAATAGCTTCTTTAAGAACAGGGGCAATGGAAAGTGTATCTTTGTTTATAGACATGGAGCTATTGCTGCTGTCTTCAATAAGATTTCCATTTTTCATCCACCGGTAAACAACCCTTGTGCCTTTTTCCACTGTACATTTCAAAGTGATGTTTCCCTTTTTTTCTACAACTCCAAATGAGGGTTCAATGTATATGACAGGCTTGGTGACAGGTGCTACAATAGAAACAATATTGGAAGTTATGATCAAGTCATTTCTGTTCTTTACATACAGCAGGTCATTTTGCACTAGTGGACAGAACATGAATGGGCACATGAGTACAGCCTTTACGTTTCTGCCAGTAGAAGATGGTGAGAACTGTCAGTGGTTGTATTTGGGACCTATGTAAGAGGTGGACCCTCAACCCAAAAACCTTAACAGAAGGAATTGTGTATTTAATCCCAAATGTGGTCTCTAAAGAGGATCAGCATCATAAGTATCAGTTTGGAATGCATTGTAGGACTCAACTTACATATACTCAACAACTCTTGTGGAAATGGAACATGTATCTGTCTACATGTTGACAGACTATTAACTTATAATTAGTATACAGTAGTTTATATAGTTTAGTTTTGATTTCAAGCACCTGAATTATATTGAGATAATGGTTTTCTTTTCTTTTTTTTACAATTTTCACTTGTTTTCTTCCTGTTCTGTTTATTAATATATTTACCAGCTTTACTGGCTTTTTGCTTTACAGTTTGCTTGTTTTTTCTTTAAAACAGCTTGGTAATCCTCCACAAAAACTTCAGTGACTACGCAGATTAAAAACAGAATGAATGAATATTTAAAGTCTGGTACTCTACCTGTAAGTGAATACTGCCTACTCCAAAATGAGATGAAAATATTCTATCTTGACTTGGTTCACTAAATCCATTGTATTAAGATATTGTTATGCAAATATATTTTAATGTAATCAACATGTAACTTAAAAGATATATGGCTGAGCAGTTAAAAATGCTTCAATTCATTGATGACTGTATAATATAGCTTCAGTTATCTAGAATTTCTATGCTGAGTATTTCCCTTCCCTCATCTACACTATGTTGGGAATTCTGGAAAATTTAGTTTCAACATATCAGGAGGGTGTCAGATTGGAGAAGATTGCTCTAGAGCAAGAAACTATTCACCAGTACATATATTCTGTATAAAAGTAAACTTTTAGAATACAGTTAGGAATAATCACCCTTGGATCTTAATTTGTGCATGTGTAAGAACAATGCAAATATCTTGAAATACCCTGATGTGGTACCATGGACAACAATATGTCATATAACTGCTCTGCAGAATATAGGCTAGACTTGTGCCTTTCCAGGGCAGATTGTGGCTTTGAGGAGTGGAAAGCCCAGAAAATGGCACAGAAAGGAAAAGGGAACCCATGACCTTTCGATGTGCCACTGACCTCTAATTCCTAACAACCCCAGTCCACATGGCAAATAATGGTGGATGGAAATGTTACATTAGATTCCAGCATTTCCTGTTACTTACCATCAACAGTAACCTGGATCTTTTCACCTGCTGATTTTGTCCCATTGCCATGGATATTGATTTTGACAATATAATTGCCTTCATCACTTCTTTGTAAATTGTTTATTAGCAAAGATGCATTTGGAGGTGAAAGTGTAAATTTGTGCCTATATTCTAAGTCTGGAACAACTGATTGATTGACAGAAATCAGCAGATATTTGGGGTTTGTTGGCGGCTTTTCAAACAACCATATTATCTGGATGTCAGAAACTGTAATGTTAAAATTATAATCAACTGCAAGTCTGAGTGGCTGTCCTTCAATGCCATTGACCATGTATGAGGGAATTGTCACCTTTAGTGCAGAAGAAATACCTGCAGCAGAAAGATTACAAATATTACAGTTTGAAATGCATACAGTGCTTGCTTCAGGTTCCATTGTAATATATGTTCAATGGTTTCAAGAACTATCCATCACTTGGTATACATCACATATATAAATTCCTGCTTTGACCATTTTGCATTTTTGGTCCTCATTCGTAATACCATTTATTTCTTATGGTCCTCATTCGTAATACCATTTAATGCCATTAAATTTTTATTCACGTTGGGCTGGATATAAGCATTAGACACATCCCTCTGAAAAGAATGGACAAATTAGTAACAACTTTTAGGGTCAACCATCAACAGTAAAGGAACAAGCAGTGAAGAAATATGCTGCAGACTAGCACGCACTTGGTACAGCAGCCATGAAGGCCTTGGAAAAGATACTCAAATGCCATGATGTGACTATACCTACAAAGATCAGATTCGTGCAAGCCATGGTATTCCCTGTGACACTCTATGGAAGTGAAAGTTGGACTTTGAAGAAGCAGGATAGGAAGAATATTGACACCTTTGAACTTTGGTGTGCGGAAGACTCTTGAGAATACTGTGGATAGCCAAGAAAACAAACTGATGGATTGTTGAACAAATCAATCCAAAGTTCTCACTTGAGGCACAAATGACCAGGCTCAAATTATCCAACTTTGGACACATTATGCAAAGACCTAGCTTTCTGGAAAACTCTAATGCCAGGAAAGGTGGAAGGTAAGACAATAAGAGGATAACCAACAGCAATGTAGAAGGACTCAGTTACAGTAGCAATGAGTGCACTGTTGGGAGACCTGAAAGACCAGGTCAGGGACAGATTGTCATGGAGAAAATCTATCTATATGGTCACTAGGAGTTTAAAACTACTTGATGGCACATAATCAGTCAATCAACTTATAGGATATTGCTTTCAATGAACATTAAAGCATTAAAGAAATTGCTCCTCTTTCCTAAGTATGTTTATTTACAAGTAAGTCCCACTGTGTTCATGACAGCTGAAACTGTGGGAGTTATTTTAATACATTTAGAACATACTGAGTTGGGGAACATTGCTAGAAGCAGAGATGGGGGGCTGTGAACACTCTAAATGTTGCAGGACTACAGCTCTCAGAATTTGTAACCAGTGATCATAGTGGCTGTGAATGCTAGAATTTGTAGGTCAGGACCATTTGGAGCAATACAGGTTCCTTACTCTTCCTTCTTAAAACCTGTGCTGGTTATAGTTATGGAATACATTCATTTCCTCCCCAAATATTCTCTTGCTATTGTTGGTTGACTAATCCAGAGTAAATAGATGATCTTCTTGATTGATTTAACTATATTGTTCCCAGCCAGGGCTGAAGCAGGATATGTCAACATAGAATCTACCCCAATGAAAATGTAGTTCATTCAAACAGTCCATTTCTCCATACAGAACAAGTAGCCATTTAATAAACAAAAATAACTGACTCTCCATTTAATAGTTACTTGTCCAACTACATTTAGCTTATGCCAGGAATGAGGAACCTGTGGTTTCTGTGTATCATGGAATTACAATGTTCATAATTGTGTGCAACTGCCATGCTCGCTGTCCCTGCTGAGAGTTGTAATTTAGCAATGTCTGGAGTGCAATAGCTTCCCCATGCCTGACCTATGCCTTTTCTTATTCCACTAAATTCCAGCTTTACTCCAACTAACTGTCTTCCTCCTCAGTTGAATTTTTGCGGGCTGGATTCACAAAATGTGCTAAGCATATTGTGGTTTATTTATTTATTTTTTTGGTTTACTGTGTTATGTGCATCCTGCCAATTATGGTTTACTCATCAAACCATGATCAAGCAGTACATGTCTTGGCACAACGAATGAAATAGTTATCATCACCCCACTTGCCAACATTCTACCTCCCATTCCTGTTGTCGCTCATTCTTACTATCTTGTTTTAGCTCTATTATTGATACCTTTGCCTATTATATCAGTGAAGTCAGAGCTGAGCTAGTTTTATTTCCACTGATTTTAGAGGCATAATCTCTGCTTCAAAATTTCCAGTTTTGTAATGATAATAAAGATATAAAGTAAGTGCCATTAAAAACAATAGAACTTTCTTCTGAGGAAATATGCATAGATTGCATTGTATAGAGTTTATGGGCTGTTTATCATTCACTGGTTTCATATGCAACTTTTACAGATTTCATACATTCAGTTTTTTCACTAGATTTCTGCTGAGGTTCTGCCTGCTCCAGTAATATCAGTGGGAGGTGTTAGAATGCATTATTCCCTTCTGCCAACATTTAAGAGTGCAAGCGGGGGACACCTAGGCTCTTCCTGATATTGCTAATCCTCCTTCATGTTATTTGACCCAATCTAAGCAGAACTGAGGGAAAACTTCTGTATTGGTGTGATATCCTTGAATGTATGCTAAAAGCATTTAACTTCTGTTATAGGATATAGCACTAGATCCAAGCATTGTCCTACACTCTGAATATTAGTCAGTAAAGGAATGAATTAGATGCCAGCTCATATCTAAAAGAAGAAATAGGTCTTGCAGAGTTTGTCAAGGCATAGAGCTTTCAGGCAAACTCATTATTTGTATGAGATTTAGCAAACTTGCCTCTAAGAAAGTTATCTTCTGTAAGAGAGCCAGAGAAATTAGGTTTCAGTAGGGAGGGAAGTTTGCCTTCAAAATGAGAACTGACAATACTCTTAAATACAATGTAGCCACATCATAATTTCATAAGGCTGTTGTGTGAACCCAACCATTATAGTTCCTTCAGTAAACTACTGGAGTACAGTAATGTACTCTACATGGGTCTACCTCTGAAAACCAGATGGAAGCTACAGTACAATTAGTCCAGAATGCAGTGGCTCAGTTGTTGGTATATGGTCACTATCACAAGTTCACCACATCTATGCTTCAGGCTCTGCACTGGCTCCCTAACAGCTTCCATGTGCAATTCGAATGCTATTTTTAACCTTAATCCCTACATGACTTGGCTCTGAGGTATTTCCAGGACTGCCTTCTTGATCCAATTTCAATTTGTCCCATGCAGAGCTCATGGGAGAATCTACTATCAGTTCCCAACTTCCATGAAGTAAGGGGTATGGAGGCTACAGATGTTTTTCCATTGGAGGCCAAGTATTATGATACAGTATGCTGTCCCCTGATATTTGATCACCACTTGCCTTACTAGGCTTCAGAAAAATTACTTATGACAGAATGGTTTCAAGAGGGCATTTGACTCTTAATATGTTGCCATCCTTTTGTTATTTGATTGGTTGGTTGTTTTAAGATTTCTATTTTATGTTTTTAACTTTTATGGTTTTTATATTTGCTTATTCATTATTTTTACTGGCATGATTCTAACTCACCAAAAGTCTTTTGATTATGGCAGATAAAAATGGAATAAACCACAACTAAATAAACCATGGCCTAGTATGACCTATGAACCCAACCATTATTTCTCAGCCTTAGCAGCTCCATTCTACCTGTACAGAGGGGTTTTTACTGAATTAAGCAGACCCAGCCAAAGATATTGTACTGTCTGATATGAGGTGGTGCTCTTTATCTCTTCCAAGTACTGTAAGCAACTGAACTGGCAGCTGAGTTGTATTTCAGTGTTGTCAATGGAATACAATGTTGTCTTCCACCATATTTGCAGTAATAGCATAGTTTGGGGGTCAAACCCTGTGTTTTCTAACAGAACCACTGCTTGTCATCATATGTCACCTACAGTTGATGATTCCTCTCCTTAATGGTAGGGCCAGGACTGAAATTAATTTACCACAAGAATATTATATAAATGCTTGGGAAGTATTATTCTAAAACCTAAGAAAAATTCTTCTTCTGTGTTCCATTTTTGCTTTAGTATCCAGACTTTTTTTTTTTTTTAAGATTAGGAATGGTTGATCTACAAGTAATAATCTTCAAATGTAATTTACCAACTTGTAAGAATCTGATACATAAAAGATGCTTCTGAGGCAAATATGCACTTTCTTAGTTTCTGGTATCCCCTTATTCTAAAACCTAAGAAAAATTCTTCTTCTGTGTTCCATTTTTGCTTGAGTATCCAGACTTTTTTTTTTTTTTAAGATTAGGAATGGTTGATCTACAAGTAATAATCTTCAAATGTAATTTACCAACTTGTAAGAATCTGATACATAAAAGATGCTTCTGAGGCAAATATGCACTTTCTTAGTTTCTGGTATCCCCTTGCACTTGGTTTCTCTGTATTCAGTGTAAACAGACTAGGTATTCCCAAAGTGACCTCCAATTTTTGCCTAAGCTGCATTTGGCTTTTACATAAATCTTAAAGTATTAGTAAGCACAACACCACCCTTGTTGACTGGAAACATCTTACAACGTTTTTTGTTCAAATAAAAAAATGATGACATAATATTTTGAGTTTCATGCATAAACCAACATTTCCATGGGAAGGATTTTGATTTTCTTTAAAAGACTTTTCAGTATCTATGGTAGTATCATTTTGAAGAAAGCCTAAGTTTAATTTCTATTGCTTTACCTGTATCATAGTGGCAAGATTAAAATACTGTACTACAGTAAGACATAATGTGGTCTGTTTGGTTTTTGTTTAACACATGTGTGAACATAGCCCTTGTGGCTTATAAACTATGATTTATGATTTAGCCATTTGCCCAGACCCATTTAATAGTGACTTATTATTAGGCAAGATACACCAGGGTTTAACATAATGTGTAAAACCAGTGAATATAATATTTCCACGATTAATAGAATACAGTGTTATCGGAACTAAATGCTAATTTTAATCCCATTTTGCACAGGAAAGAAAGAATAAGTGTAATTTCACAGTGGTTTAAAGTGCATTGTGCTGTATAGGCTGCCAAGGATTCAAGTATAATGTTACAGGACGTGGACTGGTTAAGAGACTTTCTAACTTAGTGAGTGTGTTTGCATGACATAGAGAGACTTGCTTGGCCCAACTGATCTATTTATGTAGTATTTACTTGCTGGTCCAGCACTAGATGCCCCAGCAAATCGAGTCTTGCTTTGCTGAATCCCATCTTCAGTGGCATCCTATCAACCTTACAGTGAATGCCTGTCTGCTTTTTCCTGCTTGTTTGTTTGGATTAAATGAAAATTTTAAGAAATCAGACTCTAACTCTGATCAAACTACTGTGGATTTTTTCCTTTAACAGAACAACAATAAAAACCAAATCAAACCAAAGTTTGCTCCCTAAACTATACTATTGTCTCTGGAATGCACAGGATCACATTTACAGTACTGAAATAAAATTCAGCCACCATTTTGATACATTTCTGTACATACAGAATATTAGTTGTAGCCAATGTAGCTTGAACATTCATGTTAGACTTGTTTAAATTACTGGAGAATGATGGTTTGAATGTGGATTTGGACTGAGAAGACTCACTAGATTTTGAGCCAACCTCAGTTTCGCCACAAAACCTGCCTCACCGGTTGATATTGTGGAGACAGGATTAAAGAAGAACCCTGGGTAAGCCACCTTCAGTTTTCATAGGAAAGGTGACATATAGATGAATTAAATGCATAACTATTTATTTATTTATTTATTTATTTATTTATTTATTTATTTACTGGGAATACCTAAATTAATTATAATGTAGAATACATCAGAATTTGCCAAAGTTGACTGAGTATCCTCTAAAATTATTACAAACCTATTATTCTAAGCAATGTGGCAATTGTTGTATCTCCTGTATGTGGAATCAACGTGGGGACAATAATACAGAAGTGGGGAACCAGCAGCCCTCCAGACATTGCTAAGCTACAGTTCCTAGTATCCCTCACCTTTGATCTCATGGGCTACTGCTGCTAAGAGTTGCAGTTCAGCAGTTTTGGGAGGCCATATTTCCCCTTTCTCCTGGAATAATGTCAGAAAAATCTCATTCCATGGGCAGATCAGAAAATAAGTGTTATTTGAGGAAACATTAAAACACATCAACAGTTCAATAGCTCATCTCTGCAGTGTGATGGTGAAGGGTATTTTTTCTCCCTCCATGCAATTTTCTAGTGCAACAAATACAGGATGTGAAAGCAGATACACTAATTTATATGATAGGAAGATCATGTTTATTCAGTGTTCCATCTTTTGAATCCATGGTTAAAACCTCACAATCAACAGAACTATGTGGAATTTAATATATTAGGATATTCACTTTAAATAAAACATGAAGAAGTCAGAGTAATCAAGTGATATAGAAACATGTGTAAGACATTTTCCCCTTAGTTATATAGACTGTCGATTTTAGGTTTCTTCTTTAATAATGATAAATGCTATTTATTTTATTCATCAAATTTGTCACCATCTTGTGAAATGACTCTGGGTGGTTTACAACAAGATAAAAATACATTCAAATACAACATAAAAGCAATCCTAAAAATAAACAAATATACTTATTCACATGGAAGTATAATATGCATTTTGCACTTATTTTTATTAATGGATGAATATATACCTTTTGGTTAAGACTGATCTTAGTTATTTTTCTGCAGTATTATTGGGAAAAATAATTTCTAATGCTACATAAAATATTCTTTATAGAAAAGAAAATCAGAATGAATTTAAGGAGCATATAGTATTACTTCATAGGGGCATACTAAAAATTTAAAAAATGCATTGCTTATATTCAATAATGCAGTGAGAACAGTTGCTGTACAAAATGCTTACAGTATACCACTGATTTAACCTTCCCAAAAGATAGCATATTGCATAATGTGTGAACTATAGAACAAACTTCTGTCTACTCTGAAGAAAGTCTTACAGTTTACTTACACCAACCCAGATAAGCAGTTACAGAATTGTAGTCTCCATAGATACAAACCCCACAGTGGTATTTTATTGTGTGATGCAATTAACATTAACACTACCAATTTTATATCCATAAAGTTATTGAAGTTAAGATATTGACCAGTATACTATAAAGCCTTGTATCTGGATGAAGTTTCAGAAAAGGACAGGAAATCATGCAGGATCTTACCTAAAAGCAGATAGTGCACATAGATTTTGTACTGCAAGCCATGAAACATGGTGTTAAAAGGTAGCCCGTCTTGTGCAAAGGCCATCTTCTTTCCAGTGCACAGGCAGAGCCTTGGTCCAGCAGCTGTGGGGTTTATTTGTTAGGGAAATCAGGTGTGAGTTATCTGTCTCTACCTTGCCTTGCTTGAGGTGATTTGACTATGTGTGTACAAAAGACACAGGGAGTGGAACACCTGTTGGATTAGTGTTCAACATCTTCATTGCCTATAGTCCTATCATAATTCCCCGCTGTGGTATGTTCACAGCAAATACAGAACAAGATAAATGGGGCATGCACTATGAATCACTCAACACTGATAAAAAATAAATGAGCTTAAAGAGTGTATGCAGGTTATATTCACCTGAAGAGAACAGACAGTTAAACAGCTCCATGAAGAAAGAACACAGACTTGTACACCCCCTGAGGATTGGAAATGATTATTCTTGTTAGTTTATATTGTGTCTTTTAGGTTGGATGAAATTAGTTCCTATACTATTAAATAAGTATGAAGTTGCTTTAAAAAAAATAGCAAAACTGGGAAAATTGTAAAACTGCTGTGAATTGCAAGATTCAGCAATATGCAAATATGATAAATAAAAATGCAGATTTAAAAAAAAAATCTTTCAGGTGTGCCTCTGTGGGTAAGCATAGTATCATCTGGAGGATTTTGAAGGCAATGGGCAGAACCCCCTTAATTATGAAAGGAGAAAGGCTGCAAAATGATAAATTCCCTCAGGAGGCCTTGATAGTCCAGGCAACATGAAGATGGTGGCATATAGAGATAACAGTGACCTCCTTAGCCGTGGTTTCCGGACATGGTGACCAACTAGGGTCTCTACCTAACCAGAATCATAGAGGGCACTTCCATTGGTAATCTCACAGGCCCCCAAACAGGTGGATCAACAGAAGAAAAAAAGGATCAGGATGAAATAAAGGGCAATATTGTTCAGCCTATGTGTTGTACTATATGCTAACCATGATATACTCTACACAATTTTCTGAACTTGTAAGACATACTGAACTATAAACCGGCTTTGTAAGCATAGCCTGCTAGGCTGAAATGTAGTTTCTGGTTCAGTATGTAATGAAAACACTCGTTAAGGGATTTAATGTTCACTTGTGAAATTCAGATTAAGACTTGGTATGCATAATTGAACCAAACCATGCTTTGCTTCAGCATGGTTTGTTGAATTAGCCATAATAACTGGGTTCATTCAACACATTAAGCCAAAACTAAACAACTTGTATTGTGGCTTAGCGATGTAGGAAACCAGCCACTTGACTATGTCCATACTGCATGATTACCCTTAACTTTTTAAAAATTAGCTCATTTTTCTTGGTTTGTATAAATATTGAAGCATAAAAGTAACTGCGTGAGCTGGCTACATGCAACACATTAAGCTAAAATGAGTTTGCAGAATTGTGGTTCAGTGGGTTATGGAAAAAACAGCCCCTAACTAGTCTCCTCTTTGGTATTAACCATACTAACATCTCAATAAGCAGTCAAGGGAAATTTAGGAGGAAGCAAAGCCCTTTGCATTTTCCAACACTTGCTTGCAAATATTGTAAATAGGATCCAATTATAGGAAAAAAGTAGTTGTCTGTTCTTTGCACTTCAGCCAGCAGGAGGCTCTGCTGCTCTGCTGTGTGTAGATTCTCCTTTCTATTGTTCCAGGCAATACATGTCGAAGATTCACATCAGAGTAAGGCATGCCAAACCACAAGCAAAATAGCAAAAGCTGTAGTCAAGCAATGCCTTTATTAGGATGGGGTCCTATGTGAGATCATGCAAGTTTCAGTTTATTCCTTGAATTGTTAGGAAAAGCAAACATGCGATACTTCATTTCTCCAGTTTTGAAAGTACATCCAGTATTGTTACTTAGATTTGTTTATAACCTCAGGTGAAACATCCAGATTCCTCAGAAACAGTTCGCTGTCAGGTAGTCTATATTACTGTGGAAACACTGGACTTCTGCAGCATGAAGACTAGAAGTCAGTTCAGGAAAGTTGATGTCATAATAAGTTCATCATAAGATTCTTTGAAGTTATGGAAGGAAATACATGAAGCTGGTGGAAGGTCATCTGACAGTTTGGGATCTAGTATCTTTAATATATAAATACAACTCAATTGTATACCACCTTGATTGACTGATTTTTGACTCCTAGCAACCACATAGACAGATTTTCTCCATGATGATCTATCCCTAACCTGTTCTTTCAAGTCTCCCAATCGTGCACTTATCACCACTGTAACTTAGTCCAGCCACCTTGGTGCTGATTGTCCTCTTCTTCTCTTTCCTTTTACCTTTCCCAGCATTAAAACCTTTTCCAGAGAGCTGGATCTTCACGTTATATGTCCGAAATAGGATAATTTGAGCCTGATTATTTGTTCCTTAAGTGAGAATTCTGGGTTGATTTATTTGATGATCCATCAGTTTTCTTGGCTGTCCATGGTATTCTCAGGAGCCTTTTTGAACGCTAAAGTTCAAAGGTGTCAATACTCTTCCTATCCTGCTCCTTAAAGTCCAAGTTTTGCTTCCATAGAGTGTCACAGGAAATACCATGGCTTGCATGATTCTGCTCTTTATACCACCTTGAGTTGTTTTGATTAGGTGACATATGGATGATGATGGTGATGATGCATCTCTACCCCAGGCTGTTCAGGAAATGCTTGGATGTTTTGTGTTGGTGCCTGGAGACCACAAGGGTTTCGATGGGGAGAAACAGGTTGACTCATCCCTAGCAAGACAGAGTAGCTCCAGGTTCATAAACTGATTAACTCTGTGGCAATAGCAACTTTAGCTCTAGATATGGTTGTGCTCCCCTAGAAAGAGCTGGTATACAATCTGGGGGTGGTCCTCGACTTTCCGCTCCTGATGGAAGAGCAGGTGGAAGCTGTATCCAGGGGGTCCTGTTCCCAGCTTTGGCTGGCAAATCAGTGGTGACCCTTCCTGGAGTATGAGGCACTGGCTAGAGTCAATCATGTCCTAGTCACCTCAGAACAGACTATTGTAATCTGCTGTACATGGGACTGCCTTCGCAGAAACTGCAACTAGCACAAAATACAGCAGCCTGCACATTAACCTGATTAACGTGGTATTGTCATATAACACCAACATTGTGGGAGTTGTATTGGTTCCCAACTTGTTTCTGGGTGCAATTCGAGGTACTGAATCATTTCCTTGAGCTCGACCGGATAGAGTCTTTACTTCTGCATTATAGTAATGTGGTAAACCTTGACGCGCTGTAATGCACTCTCTCGGCATTTACATAGCTTCGGTGTTTTAAAACCGATCCAGTCATATCTATTCTAATATCCTGGATTACGCCAATATTTCATTAGAAGCAAAATAAATTCTGGAAATAACCATCAAGTTTCGCATCCAAAGCATCAGATGGTTCCTTTAAATTCATTTATCGCTAAGAGAGCATCTTTCGTCCTGGGAGTTTGGTGATTGGACAGACAGGAAATACGTTCCGTTGAGCTTTGTGGGAGTTGTATTTCTCTCAGCCAGGCGTTGGCGTCCAAAATGCGGAAGCAACGCTCTCATTGTAAACTACAAATCCCATGAAGCCGAAGAAGATGGAAAACTGGCGGATCATGTGATGCCCAAGATGGCTTCTCTGTGTCAGAGGCAGCTGAGTTCGATGCGCGAAGGGTGCTTGTGAGGCGGGCTGGTCTGCAGGGAGGCAGAAATTGCGTGGCCATGCAGAAAATCAAGTCTCTGATGACCCGACAGGTAGCGGGGCGGGAAGACGGGAGGCCTACGTTTGATAAAGCGAGGTGCAACTGGAAGCGATTCCTGCAGAAGAGAGCAGGATAAAATTGGCAGTACGAGTGTCGGCGGCGTGTTTAGCAAGGCCGGAGTTCCCATCATTAAAAGGGAGGCCTTGAACAGAGGTGGCATTTTGAATGAGGAGAATAGCCACGATAATGTTACATAGGGGGGGGGGGGGGGGGACACTGCGATCTGTCGTAGATAAGACACAATTTAGCGTGCGTTTCTTTGGAAAAGAGTTCTGTTAAATAGGTCTTACACATTTATAAATGCGCATAGGATTGCAGCCTTGTTGATTTGTGTGATGCCCTTTGAAAGGTACGGATTTGTTGCTTGAGGTGTGAGCAGGAAAAAAAAAGTGGGACTCCATAGCTCAAAAAGCGAGATTTAAGCATTTTTGAGATGTGGGTGATTCTTTAGGCTCCACGTATCTTTACAATTCTAGCCAATATCTTTTCAAATAGTAGCTATTTTCTCACAAGAATGAATGTGGATGGGAACTAATGTTTTTTATTATTATGGTTGGTCGCACAGTCAGCCAGATGTTTAGACTGGATTTGGCATTTTTATCCAAAGTACCAAGTCCTTCCCAAGGACCTGGGATAGGCAGATGTGGTTGTTCGATGGTATTAAAGGTCTTGTTCCAGAATATAAGCTGTTCCAAGTAAAGCTACCTTTATTATTACTATTACTATTATTCCTTTGAGTTAGTGTTGACTTCTGGTGACTGCCTGGACAAGTCCCTGCACTTTTCTTGGCAAGATTTTCAGAAGTGGTTTGCCATTGCCTTACATTACATTTAGGAATGTAAGGACTTCAGATGCATCCTAGGATTGAACTGCGGCCGTTCAGGTTGAACTTGTTTCCCCAGCTTAAATTCTCTGAGTTGAAGAAATTGCATCCGAATGTAGTGACCACTTAGACTTGGAACCTTTTCTCATAGTATGAGAGAAAGATTACTAAAATATATGTAAATAAAGATGATAGGAGGAATTGGTGAATGCAAAGTATATGTTGTTGGTTTAAGTGGAACATCGCAGGGGCAACAGTAGAGATTATTGCTTTTGTATGTGAGTCATTAGAGCTCCTGGTCTGAAAATGGCCCAGATAATATTTCTTTGAGAGACTGTTACAAGGTATTGATAGCCTTTTTATGTTATTTTGATGAGGACAGTAAAAAAAAATCTATTTGAAATTGAATATTCCAAAAATTATTGCTACTGATAATAAATTATCAGTTTATATTTATATAAAAGGAATGTATATATATATATATAATATAATATATATAAATATATATAGATCATATATATACAGCATATTTATATATATGTGTAATATATATATAATATATATAAATATATATATCATATATATATGTCTGTGTGTGTGTATGTATGTATATATATATATAAAGGGAGCAGTATTAGACATTTCGTTTCAGTGCTCTATGTGCCTTTTTTCTGTGTGATTCAACAGACAGTGTGGCAATTTTGCTCTGGAATGATCTTAAGATTGGATAATAATGTGGTGCTCTCCAGAATATTTGGGTTACAACATCCATTAGTTCCAATCCATAGATTGTAGTGAAGGATTATCGTGAATTTTTAAAGAAATGTTCATTTATTACACAATAAATATTTGTTACAGGTTCTTCAATATTTGTAGCTGGGAAAATTTTGTTCATAAGAATAACTGAAGTTTTCTCAGGTTTGATTTTCAAATATATGTGCTTCATATAAAACTAGTTAAAGCAGTCATGTATTCATTTCTACATGCATGAGGTTTAACTGTTTTGGGCATAGAAAGTGACATGCCTGATTTTCTCCCCCAAGGGTCTTAAAAGTCCTCAGGAGAGTATTCATGATTTGAGCCCCCTTGAGAACTTCAGAATTCCAAGCAAGGTAGGACTGACTAGTTTTACAAAGTACTGCATAATTTTAAAATGTCTTTTACGTTCTGTTTTGTACTTGTTTTGAGTCACATATATTTGTATTTCATCCAAGTGCCGTGGCAGGGCAAAGAAGTCAGCATCCCTTGTCACTGACAAGTAACTGAACTCTGCATAATAAATTGGAGTGAAGGATGGGTTTAAGTGGGTGTAGAGTTGTTCAGCAACCATGAAATCTGTTACTACGTCTGGGTTCACAGAAATTTTTAGAAGACATTTGTGTAGCTTCTCAGCTTAGGTAGGTTCCATTTAGTCCTACCTGTTTCTTTTCATATCCTTGCAGGTAGTCCTCAACTTACAACCATTTGTTTAGCAACCGCTCAAAGTGATGATGGTGCTGAAAAAGTGACTTATGACCAGTCCTCACATTTATGACCATTGCATCGTTCCCACGGTCACATGATCAAGATTCGGATTTTGGGCAACTGGCATGTATTATGACGGTTGCAGTGTCCTGGGGTCACATGATGGCCTTTTGTGGCCTTCCCAGCTGGCTTCTGACAAGCAAAATCAATGGGGAACTGTGTGGTTCATTTAATAACTGTGGTGATTCACTTAATGGCCACTGCAAAAAATGTAAAATTGGGTGTGGTCATGTGATGCCTTGCTTAATGATCGCATCGCTTAATGACAAATTTTCAGGTCCTTATTGTGGTCGTAAGTCGAGGACTAACTGTATTCTCTGTTGTATATAATTTTTGGCAGCCATACCAAAAAAACTTCACAGAGTATTTTGACCTTTTTTGATGCATCATGCATGCCATGGAAGAAGGTTCCATAGTAACTTAAAATAATGTGTATTTAACCCTCAAGTAGCCCCTCTGAATTTATCCATTTTTTGTGCATTGTTGTAAAAATGAATTTATGCCATGAAGTGCAGGATTCTGATGTCATAAAAAGATACGAGTTAAATCTTCTTTAAACTGTCTGCATTTTGAGATGGGGTATAAGTAATGATTGTGTAGGGATGGTGATTGTCAATAAATATAGACCCTCACAGAAAGTAGGCCAAGAAAAAGCAAAAATGGTTGGAAGTATTTTGACTTCTCAATTGGAAAGCAGATCCTTTTTTTTTTCTTTTTGTTACTTCTGGAAAGATTACATTGTCGGAACAATTATGTTGATCAAATAACGGGCAATGATGTCCCAATGATCCAAACAAGTTCTTCATAATGTGCATAAATGGGCATTGAACATTTTGAAATATTTTACTTATTTATATTCTGGTGTAATTAAGAGTGGTTCTGAAAATGAAAGTTACAGATGTCTTTTTAAAAAAATACCTGTGGAAAATGGTTAGTAAGGACATGGTTATGTATTGTGTTTCATTGATGCAGTTACCTAAATTAATGCTTGGACTTTCTGGAATTGAGGGAAGTGATAAAACATATATATTTGTGTATTTGTGTTTGTGTGTGTGTGTGTGTGTGTATTCATTTGTTTCAAGAGATAATAAGCCAATCTTTCTATATGGATTCTTGCAAAATTCTTGAATATACAGTGCATGCATTACCGTAATGCATGCACTGTATATTCAGTGTGCAATAAAGCTTATGTAATATTCTTGCATAATTGGAAGATAAAGAGCACAGTGGCGTACCAGTGTTTTATCTTGATTTCCTCTAAAAGAAGGTGGTAATTGAACAGCCTTTGGGAAATTATGCTCACTGAACTTTCTCATAGTAGGAGAAAGTTAGAAATTTATACAATTAATTTTTTATTTGTGTTACTCTTGAATGCTTTATTGGATGCCATATTTCAGGTTCTGCATGTCTAATTAGAGACTACAGAGCAACTAGTTTGTTTTGTATGGTGCTATTGTGCTTTTTTTGTATTGCCGCTGTAGCCTGTGACTCTAATCCAAAAGCACTGGGAATAACAAAGGGACTTGGCTTCCTACTTAGATGCTGCTTCTAGAAACATGTGTTTGTTTGTTTAGGAAAATTATATGGCCACCCATCTTATATACCTTAATTCTGGATGGCTCACAACAATAACAATAAAAAGATAAACAGTTTAAAAAATCAACATCCAAAACCAACATCCAGCACCCTGAAGCAACACTCGTCAACAACAACAATAAACAACACTGGGCTCCAGCCTCACCACATGCCAGTGCTTGGAGGAAGAGCCAAATTTTTAAGTCCTTCCAGAAGGCTAGAAGAATGGAAGTCTGCTGGATCTAAGGGGGAGGGTGTTCTACAGGGAGAGGCTGCTACTAAGAAGGCTCGCTTCCTAGGTCCTGCTACCTTTAAGGGAAGGGACCTGAAGGACACCCACCCTATCTGATGTGGTAGAATGGGCAGATAGGCTCAGGGAGAGGCGGTCCCACAGGTAACCTAGCCACATGCCATGGTCAGCCTGTGGCTAATTGTAATGACTGTATTCAAGTATACTATAAACTTGTTCTAAATATACCTTCCCTGACCTATACTTTCCAGTTCTACAACACAATTGTAGCATTAGCTGGTGTGGTGACTGGCTAATCCAGATATTCTTTTTGACATTAAAATGTTAAAGGGCCTCCATTGAAAGTTATGATTTATATACAAATATAAATACAAAACTTGATACAAAATAATTGGAAATTAAATGTAGGAGAGGCAATAGAAGTGAAAGGGCCATTGTACAAGTCCCCTTCCTTCCCCAGTTCTGTGTTCAGTCAGATTGGTATATTGACAGATAAGTTCCAGCGTAGCTCTTCAGTAAGAGAGTGAATTCTGTCTAATTTGTGTTTCTGTCATTCTTGCAGTAGACCCTTAAAATTGCAGTCTGGCGTGTCAGGAATGGGAATTCTTCCTCCTAGTCCATCAGCAGAAATTCTCTCCAAATGCACATTGAGAATATACATTTTTTATATTTATATTTGATTATGTTGTGGTTCTTCACCTGTGAAGTTTATATTCATTTTGAGATAATGGCAGACTCTGCTCTTTATCTTCCAATTATGCAAGAATATTACATAAGCTTTATTGCACATTAGTTACGGTAATGCATTGTACAGTATATTCAAAGTATGTTCAGTAAGCTGGTTGAGAAAATAAATTCTGGAAGGCATCTGAAGCTTCACTTTGGGTTTCTTTTCCATACTAATTAAGAATGTAGTTTGAGTAGTTGGCCTCCATTAGTCATTAATTTTGTTGAAGGAAATGCTTAAGAAAACAAAAATTGATTTCCAGATTTAAAGGCATTGCTTTCTTTTTCAATACTAATCTCAGTATTTCATAACTTTTGTTGTAAAATATTCTGGTGATTGCCATCGTGATGGCAGAACTAAAAGAGTATATATTTTTTGATTTGGTGGTTAGAACGCATGTTTTTAGTTTCTTCTCTGGACTACCTTGAAGAGCGGACAAAAAGTTTGAAAACCTTTGATTTACACAATGCTTTTAAATTAAGAAACAACATTGCTCCAGAAGAAAACACACATTAATTTATATTGCAGGTTTAAGGAATTAATGTGATTACCTGTTGGATCTCTTTGGGGAAATCAAGAAGAGTGCAAATAATACACCCTGAAAGAATTAACCTATGGAGGTTAATGATCTGTTAAACTTGATTTCTTTAGACCTTTCTCAGTAGTGTCCTTTTCTTGGCCAGAATGTGCAGATATTTCTACTCCATTCAGATGACATCACTCTATAATTCATTTTCCAGGAATTGGACTGCTAGTTATAGTTGGCAAAAAGCCTCATGAATTCTTGCGTTTAGCAAGAATGATTACTGTGCATTTTTTTAAATGGATGGAGTATATTTTGTGCACTGGGTGGCTGGTGTCCCTGACTTTCCCTGCAACATGTCAGACCAAATTATCAATTTCTGTTTGCTTTTCTTCAATATCTTTTTCCCTTGCAATTTTAATGAGGCAGTATGTCTTCTTTTGGCAGTGGGTTCAACCTACAATTTAAAAAGTCTTCCAGCCAAAGGGCTGCTAAAGCTACACAGCAAGATGTATTTGTGCATCAGTTTTGGTTCATCTTCGTTCATGGATTTCCTCTGGGTAAAAAAATAATGGAAGAAAAATAATAGGGAAAGATGGGACAGTTGCAAATGATGATATTTGTACTTCTTGTAAAGATGGTGTGAATAAGGCAGACTTGTGTGCAATAAATCCAAATTGTTTCAAAAGGTATTTAATTTAGGTTCCCTTGGTCCACTGAGTCCATGCAGACAGTTAGACATTAAAGGCATGCAGGCATTTCAAGGTATTATGGTTCCAATTCTGAAATATTCCGTTCTAACCTCATCTGAGATGCTTTGACTTCAGAGTGGGGCTTTCTGACTGTACAGGAAAAAATCTGACCTTGAAATGGGTTGTTCTTTTTCAGTTTGAATAGTTCCGTTTCAGGCCAATCCATTTCTGGTAAGGTTGGAATGAGATGTTTCTGGGTTGGACTGTTTCAGCTTCAATTTTGCACGCTTCTACTTATTTCTTAGATCTGGCTGCATAGAAAGTAGTCAACACAGTCCACTAATGACTTCTGACACTGTTGTCTGCTTGTCCTTAATACCTAAAACTAAAGAAGGGGATTGTTAATTTTTTCAGCAGCCTCTCAGTGGGGAACTTATGTTGCTAAGAATCCTGGAGCCTGCTAATTGTTTACAAAGCTCAACAAAATCAGAGGTAATGCTAAATCATAGTAGGGTTTTGTTGGGTTGCTCACCTGTGAGGATGATAATATGCTGAGCAGGAACATGCTAGTTAGAAAGCTGAAGAATGAGTTACTGCCTTGTTGGTGTGCTGAGATCCCCAGATAAAATTCAATAGGCTAAAGGCTTACAATGCTGTTTTTAGTTTCAGTATGAGCAGATCAGAAGGCAACACAGCCATTATCCTATTTTGAGTTAGATGTGTAAGTTAATTTAGAAATAAGTGGCAAGCCAACATACTGTTGCCTGTATCCTATTAACCTGGAGATACATGCAATATACTGACAATACTCAGGATGCATTATTGCAGTTCACGGGAACATAATATGAAACCACTACCAACCTATTAATTGCGACTTTCATAGGCTCCCACAACAGTCTAGATATCACCAATTCTTATGTTCTGTCATATATTCATGATAAGCATACACCCTTAATTCCATACCCATATTCATCTCCACATAAGATTAGTTCACTTTTGTTCAAATCTATTCCATCCTTCCCCTTTCTTTTAGTTTTACAAATATATTTTCTTTCTGTCTGTCTTTCCATTAATAATAATAATAATAATAATAATAATAATAATAATAATAATAATAATAATAATA